GGTGCTGCCTCCTCTGAGGGCGCGGCCGCCAGCGTCCCGGATTGAGCATGGGAACATGGGTCTGGGAAGTGCACGGTCCGTTTGACCCAGTCAATCTGAACGGTGTGGGCTTCCAGCCAGTCCATCCCGAGCACCAGGGGGAAGCGGGGCATAGAGGCAATGTCCAAAGTCCGCAACTCCCGGTGCTGCTGGAGACACAGGACCAAGGGCTGGGTCTCCTGAGTAACGGCACCTGAACGCAGAAGTCGTCCGTCAATCGCTTCCACCTGGACCGGTACTGGCTTGTTCCGAAGCGGCACCTGATGATGGGCGGCAAAAGCAGCGTCCATATAGGAGCGGGTTGCCCCTGAATCTACCAAAGCATGGGTGAGGATCCAGGGCCCACCTGGAGGGTATAAACGTACTGGAAACCATAAGATGTTGCAAGTCCATTGGTGCGGGCCCATTCTGTACGGTTTGGGACCCCGGTAGCTAGGGCCATCAGCTACTGGGGTTGGCGGCTTCTGCGGCTGGCGTTTCTCAGGGCAGGACCGAGCGAAGTGTCCACTTCCGCCACAGTAAAGACAGAGATTTCCTCCCGACGCCGCGCCTTCTCTGCGGGGAAAGGCGTGGCCGCACTGCCCCGAGCTGCATAGGCTCCTCCGTTAAATCAGCTGTGACCGTGGGGCTGCCGGAAAAGCTGGTGCCGTGAACTGGGAGTGTCGGCGACCCCGGGCCTGACGACGATCCTCCAACCGGTCGTCTATTTGTAGACTCCGTTGAATGAGAGTGTCCAGCGTGGTGGGGCGTTCCATTGTGGCCAACTGGTCCAGTACCTCGTCCGAAAGCCCTTCGAGATACTGGTCCCGCAGTGCCGAGTCATTCCAGGTCAAGTCCTGTGCCAACAGCCGAAACTCCGTGGTATATGTGGCCACCGTGGACTTGCCCTGTTTCAAACGCCGAATCGCCCGGTTGGCTTGACTCTCTTTCTGGGGGTTGCCGAACGCGGCCTCCAAACGATTGCAAAACCCCGTATAGTCTGCCAGCAGGGGGAGTCTTGCCTGAGTAACGGCAACGCCCACTTGGCCGCCTGGTCCTTTAACAAACTAATCAAAAAGTGCACCTTGGTGCGGTCGTCAGGAAAGTTCCGGGCTCGCCCCTGAATATACAGCTTGGCCTGGGCCAGGAACATGGGAAAGCTGGCCGGGGCTCCATCAAATTTCTCAGGCAAAGCCACTGGGTACTTGCCCGGAGCCGGGCGCCGGCCCCAGGAGCCGGTAGGGCTTCCAAGCGTTGCTGAAGTGCCACAACCGCGTCGCTGAGCTGCTGCACGGTGTGATTCAAGGCCTGGTTCTCCTGGGCCAAAGCCACCAGTGCAGCCGCCTGTTCAGCCATGGCCTCTGGCTCTTCCCGAACGCACCCCTACGAAGGGGAAGTGCGGGTGTGGCGGGAGCAAACTGTGCTGGTCCCGGGGTAAGGTACCTTGGGTGTAGCAGAGTCCACACGAAGAGGGGCAAGGTCCGAGGCAGAGAGCCGGGCGGGGAACAGGAATGCTGGAACAGGAGGCTGTGCAGGGAACAGGAACACCGGATGGTCGGGAACAGGAGGCCGAGCAGGGAACAGGAGTACCGGATAGTCAGGAACAGGAAGCCGAGCAGGGAACAGGAGTACCGGAGAGTCAGGAACAGGAAGCCGAGCAGGGAACAGGAGCACAGGAAGGTCCGAAGCCAACAACGACGTTGCTCCCGCAACCTGGGGCCGGGCTGACTGGGCTTTTATCCTCTTCTAAGGCCAGGGGCGGTCCCGGTCCCCAGGAGCCCCGCCTCCTCTGGCCTTAAGGCGAGCACTCCTCCTAGGGGCAACCAGTTCCCTTCGCCTCTGCCCTACGCCTCTGCAGATCAGGAGAGGCCGAAGGGTTACTGGGCCCTGGAGGAGGCTCACCTGTGGCCACTGAGTCATCAAGCCCCTCTGGGGCCAGAAGGGCTTCACCTGGGGCCAGCTCCTGATGCACTGCCACAGGTGCAGGCTCTTCAGCATCTAGGCCTTGCCCCAGTTCAGCCGGCCCTGGAGGCGGGGACTCCTGTGCAGGCTGGGATTCCTCTGTTTCATCCTCCGAATCGGAATCCCAGGCCATCACACCGTTGCTCGGTCCCTGCTCCTGCCAACCTAGCAGTTCGAAAGCACATCAAAGTGCAAGTAGATAATTAGGTATCTCCCTGGCGGGAAGGTAAACGGCGTTTCCATGCGCTGCTCTGGTTCGCCAGAAGCGGCTTAGTCATGCTGGCCACATGACCTGGAAGCTGTACTCCGGCTCCCTCGGCCAGTAAAGCGAGATGAGCACCGCAACTCTAGAGTCGGTCACAACTGGACCTTTTTAAAAGTGATTAAGGGTCGGTTAAGAAGCACAGCTATAATGGCTGTTGCAATCACAAGAAAGGAAACTGACATGTTAGTAGAAGAATTTTGGGCAGAATACAGTCCCAGCTCAGTTGGAAGCAAGGTTAGGTAGAAGGGGTTCTAATAATAGAAAGACAATTCTAATTAATTGCAGGAAACCAAAGCTGCCAGAGGAAAGTTAAAAGAGGCAAATCGTTAAGGAAATCAAGGCTGGCTGACTCAAGTTTGAGTCAGCAAGACTGTCAAGAACATCTGACAGCGCTTTAAAAGTCACCTGAAGCTACAGACTGCAATGCAAAATGCCAAGTTCTTCTGTATTATAAGAATTTCAGAACAAGCTTATTCCTGGGGAAAAGTCAAAGCCTTGGGAAAGTGCCATAGCTCAGTGGCTGCCACTTGTGCCTAAGAAAACATGATCATCCTTTTTTGGAGAAGAGTGTCCCCTGTCCTGTTTGGACTTCAAACGGGATACCTTTTTTCACGTAGCTCATCCTCATTCTCAAAATTGCACAGGCAGAGGGTAGGGTGGGTCTGGGAGGAGGAGTCTGAGAGAGAAAGTTTTAGCGTTGGCAGAGGGTGCGTCACAGAGAGCAAGAGAGGGAGTTCGCAATTCAATTTTGCACAGACAAGGGGCAGCAGGTGGATCAGAGAGAGGGGGGGGGGTTGCTGGGGCCTGTGCAGGAGAGAGGGTTTTTGCATGCTCAGAGGGGGCAGGGCGGGTCAGTCTCGGAGAGCGAGAGAAGGAGTTTGCCTAACCAATTCGCATTGCAAAGCCCAGCTATGCAGGTAATGTGCAATATTTTTCTTGCAGTTGTAAATCATAGTGCTTTTGTTGTTTTCACTGAATGAAGCACTGCAAACCCTGTGTACCACTGTAATGGACTGAAGTCATTTCTGCAAAAGGGAAAGTAATTTTCAGTCCTCCAATCTCCACCCCAACCTGTCCCACATATTTTGGCACGAGCCTTCCCTCTATGAGACAAAACATTTGCCCTCATAGGCCTGGTCACAACCACTCTCCCACACAATTTATTGAATGAACACCAACATAAGATTTTTTTCCTAAAAATTAACAAAAATCTATCAACCATATATAACAAAAGTTAACACAATGCTGGCGGCACAGAACAGAGCTGCCACATTTACAGTGATAAAGAATTGCTTGCACTACATATTTCAGTATGGTTGGATAGCCCAGGACACAGACACACCTGTCTGCTTATCACCATCTAGAGATGTGTTGGAGCCAGCCGTTACAAATGGCGCAGTTTAGCATAAAAGAAAGACACAGAGAGCCAGCAATATTTTCAGGATGGTATGAGCAGCTCCTTTCGAACTTCCCTCTCCTCCTGTAGCTTCTTTATTATCCTTTGTCTCTCTCCAGCCGCATGGCCGTTTGCCAATGTGTCACATTACCTCATCCGGTCAAGGCTTTTATTGCCCCCATCACCATATAGGGTCATCACTGCCCAGAGGAAACACAACTCCATTTAAGGTCAATACATTCCAATACATTGTAAAGCTCAGAGTGCTGGTCAGCCGAGGTCAGGGGGCACCCTGCAATATTACAAGCCTTTACCGTGGCTTTATGACTCCCACAGAGATGCACATTTACATGAATCTTATCCATGCGTTGGCAGAACTGTCCATTTGGGGATCTTTATTGGATATAGCTGCATACCCCAGATATTATTGCACTGGATCTCATTACCTTAGAGCAGGCACCCCCAACTCGGCCCTCCAGTTTTTTTGGGACTACAATTCCCATCATCCCTGACCACTGGTCCTGTTAGCTAGGGATGATGGGAGTTGTAGTCCCAAAACAGCTGGAGGGCTGAGTTTGGGGATGCCTGCCTTGGAGACACCCAATGTCACATAGCTCATTGTTGGAGAAATTAGCCCCAATACATTTCAATCCTTCCTTGTTTGCATTACTTGCATTAGCTACACCACCAGCTCCAGGGGATTAATTAGATATATGCAGATTCCTGCCTGAAATCCTGGAAGCAGGAGCAAGGCAGTGCAGACCAGACCTACAGGCTGTAGCGTCATATGTTGTTTGACTACAATTCCCATCATTCCCAGCCAGTTTAATTGGTGACCAGGAATGATGGGAAATGAAGTCCACCAAAATCTGGGGACTCAGTGTAGCAATAAGGACCAATGATTTGACTTGGTATAAAACTATCATCTGACTATGGCCCTATGTATATTGTATCTAGCCCACAAGCGCTGATACAGCTGTTAAGTCCAAGGGGTGGGAGAGTGTGGATGTGCAGGCACACACACAATTACCATCCAGGAATTTCTCTTCTGGTCGACTCCAAAGAGGAGAATTTTAACAACCTTAGCAAGTCTGCCTTAAATAAAAGCCATGTCTTCCTCTTTCCCTTAGCTCCTAATCTCGTGATCACGTCGAAGCGCACACGGGGCATTAAATCCATAGCACAGAAAAGGAGGGGGTGCAGAATGGGGTTTAAACCCAGCGGTTTCTCTCGCCCGCCGTCCCTCTTCGGCTCTCTAACGTACCCAAAACACAAAACTGGCCGGCCAGCTTGCAAAACGCCTCCCAAAAGAACGAGGCACATAGTGGGAGGGAAGGTGGGTTGATCACATGAGGACAGGGTGGAGCTCCTCGTTCCCACCCGCAGTTTAGCTTTGACCAGGAAGCAGGATCCGCAAGGGAAGCTCTGTAAGTAAATTCAGGAGACAGGTTTGCATTTCTGATTGAGAGCACTTGAGCAACTTCTCGGCGAAAGAGGCCGAAGGGCAGAGGAGCAAGTAGGAGCTAAATTCCTCCCGCGTTGCCGATTTGCAAAGCAAGATTTGGGAGGAGGAGGAGGACCCTGCGGCTGAACTACAGCTCCCATCATCCTTTGCCACCGACCGTTCTCCTGGGAACGGTGGGAGTTGGAGTCCGGCAAGGTCTGTAGGGCCGCGGCTGCCCCATCCCTCCTTTGGGGGTGGTGAATGGTATAAAATTTGAGGATTTTAGTTCAGTGGCCATTGTGGTGGTTTGTTGTCTGGAAACAACAAATATTACCAGATTGGGGATTAAATAAAATGTTTTTGTCTAAACGAGTAGACGCTGGTGGAACAACTCTAAATGCGAACAGGTTTTCAGACCTGCTCTTGCTCATGCAATTCACTCCCACAGCATTGACAGATTTAAAAAAGTCGCATGTTTGGACAGGCGTTTCCTGACTCGTAATTTTATGATCACACTCTGCTTTTTCATATTATGCACGTATTTACTTTTTGTTTGTAATTTTATTACTGCAGTTTGTGCGAACCGCTTAGAGATTTTCTAGCACTAAGTGATGGCTTTCCACTCTGCATAGCGCCGTTTATTATTTCATTTTTGTGTGCCCGCAAAACACTGTAGCCCCTTTCAGACCTTATGAATGGGGGGGGGGTGACATTGCAGTGAGCTCCCCTCTCCCCCAGAGCCAGCTCCATGCAAAGTGCCCCCTCATGGTGTGTGGGGGGGTCATCTGTCAGTAGTTCACAGCAAGCTTACCTGGCTTCACTTGGAGGCTTGGTCTAACCATCCTTTAAATTCCCACAATGCCTCAGAATGATGCTAAGCTGGGGGCATTGTGGGAAATTCAAAGGGTGACTAAATACAGCTGCCCGATGCTCCATGGAGTAACCCTCCCCCTTTTTATGGGTGCTCAGAACAGGGATCAGCAATTGGCCCTGCCAGCCCTCTGGAGCTCTAGCAGGTGCCTGAGGGTTCATGTGCTGGCTCCAGCCCTGCCCTCCTGAATGCATTTGTTATAAGATGTTAATGTTGCCCTCCACCTGTTTGTTTGTTTGTCCAAAGGGGAAAGGAGATCTGATCCCAACATTGCTGTGCCCATTGCGCTGTCCCACCATGCAGAACTTCTGAAAGATGAGTCTGTGATGTGTACAACTGCATAAACTTAGGGTTAGGAACCCTGCACTTCTGCAATTCATGGTGGCATGGAATGCCTGTGCTCATACAACTGTCACTGTGTAGGCAACCATGATGTTCAATGCATGACATTCAGGAGTGGAACTGCCTGGTGCATCAATGTTTAGGACAAGGCTAATGGGCAGAGTTCCACGTACCCCTCCAATCATTGAATATATGCAGTGGGTGGGTGTGTTAGGGAGAGAGAAGTTGTGTATTACCCTAATGGAAATCCTTCTAAATATTAGTGTTAATTATATACATTAAATATGTGTGTGTGTGTGTGTGTGTGTGTGTGAGAGAGAGAGAGAGAGAGAGAAACTTTCATCCATATTATACATTGCTACAACTCATGCTGCGTTTAGATTTATTGTTCAATATCCATAGTAACATACTGGAACAGAGATCATAGAAGAATTCTAGAATGATTCTTGCCTAAAACCGTTGGGAATACTTTTGCCGAAATGTGTTATTTGTTCCATTTATTTCTCTGGTTCCAGAGCTGCCAGAAACGGGATCCAAGTAGCTCCGTAAAGACTTCTGAGTCTCTCTTGAGGAACAGAGATGGACAGCTGGCAAGGAACCACCAGTCCTGTCAGCAGCAACGTGACAGATCTAACAATTGGTTTCACCTCCTCAGCAATAGCTGTCATCTTGTTTGGAACAAACTTTGTACCAGTTAAGAAATTTGACACTGGCGATGGTAAATGTTTGTGACTGAATTGCTATTGTTATACTTTACATGGTACATGTTGCAAAATGTCCATACTCTTTAAAACAACAGCCACTTTATATCAGGTTGATGACAGAATCACAGAGCTGGAATATTTCTATAACTAAATAAACATTGTTGTAAATGGGATTTAGTATTTGACTCACCCACTAAACAAGCTGAGTAGCTGGTATTTTCTAGAAGTTATCACATCATCAGCTCAGTTGGAGCATGAGACTCTTAATCTCAGGGTTGTGGGTTCAAGCCCCATGTTGGGCAAAAGATTCCTTCATTGCAGGGATATGAAGAGTCAATGCAAATGAATTGCCCCTGCTTCTGTTTGCAGGGGCAAATCCAACAAAGCATGCTTTGAATGTTGTTTTTCAGTAAACTACATGTTAAGGTAAACACATGGGGTTTTTTAAAAAAAAAATATTAAAGCATGCTAAAGCTGGCCACTTCTGTTCTGAATGGCAAAATAGCCATGGGGCTCTGCACTAAAGTGGGGTCCTTTGCCAGTTTTCCTGCTGAAAGTCCTACTCTCTACCGCTAGCTACTGATGGGCTGTGGAAGGTGCTGTTTATTCCCAGCCCAGAGCCCTGAGTCGAGTGAAGAGTTCATTCTGGGTCATGAGTTTGACATAAGGAATAAGGAAAACATGTTTATTGCAATATATAGTTTGGTTCCCAGTTCAGTGGTGTTGCTACACTGAAGGGCCATCACCCAGGGGAAGGGTTGTAACTCAGTGATGGAGGGACCCAGGTTCCATCCTTGGATGTCCAGGTTGCGCAGGAGTGCCCTCTACCTGTAATCCTGGTGAGCTTCTGCCAGTCAGTGAAGACAACACTGATCTGGATGGACTAATGATTTGATTCATTCTAAGGCAGCTTCCTATATTTCTGTGCTCTGCCTTATCATGTTCTCAGTCTATCCACATCTTTTTTTTTCTAATTAGGCCCTATCTGCCTTCTCTTCCCTTAGATTCTAGTTCTTAATCTGCTGCCTACAGTGCATTCTCTTCCCCACTTTGAGACGCCCCTTATAACTCAGTTTTCTGTCTTCAGCTTCCATACTTATCCGTATCGTTGCCAAGGTGAGGTTTAACACCAGCCAAAGTGATGTTTTCCTTCTGTTTCTTACATCTTCATTTCCCAAGTAGTTTTGAAACATTCCGTGATATCGCAGCTGCTCAGCCAAAGACGTCGCCGCCACCACCACCAAATCTCCCAACGCTTCTTATGATATAGACTAAAACTAAACAGAATGATCTGTTGTGCTTAATTATTCTTGGATTTATTTGTGTTCTAGGAATGTTCTTCCAATGGATTCTCTGTGCCGCTATCTGGATAGTTTCTTTGATTGTTAACCTTATTCAGAACAGCCCTAGATTTTGGCCTCTTGCCATGGTTGGCGGCTTTTTATGGGCTACAGGTATGGCTGAAATAACACTTACCTTGTCACAATTTAACACCCATGCACATGTGAATCTATGCACCATTTGCAGATTGCAGGAATATCATAAAATGCAATTGTTAATACTGAGACATATGCACGTATTGGCCTTCTTCAATCACTTTTTGTCTTAAGGCAGGTTGGGTGGGGCTCTAATGATAACAAAAACAATACTAATGTTATTATTTATACCCCACTTATCTGGCTGGGTTGCCACAGCCACTCTGGGCGGCTTCCAACACATATACTTCACAGGTAATTTGTATTACAAGAAAATAGAACAGTTAACATTTGCTTTTCATTTTGAAGTAAAACCTGCACTGCCAGCTACTCCGCAGTGTAAACACACCACTGATTTGACCTTAAGGTGTGCATCGTGGTTTCAAATAAAAAGCAAGATACAAAGGCAACACTTTGGCAAAGCTTCATAATAAGCAACGGGGGGGAATAACACTCATCACATTACAAGCATATTAGCTCTGCCCACATCCACACCTTGGTTCGCATTCTGATCACCCTCCACAGGCTGAAAAGCAATATTCTGCAGCACGGCGCCACCTGTGCTCTGGGAGGCTTCCTGCACATTTTAGAATCGGGGGGGGGGCTTATGGAGGGTGATCAGAAGGGCAAAGCCAGAGCACTTCTCATGCCCTCTTCCCACCTGTTTATGTAATATGACGAGAGAATGTCTGAAGAGGGCTATTAATTTTGTCTCACATCCGCTGCTATGTAATTCAGCATGACGAGAATACTAAATGCTATTGTGTGGTAGAGTTACATTAAAAACGATATCAAGTGCTTGATCCTACAAGGACTTTCAGGGTTCTTCTAGCTGTGATTTGTCTGTCTGTTCAGTGGTCTTTTCTTCCCCCTCTCTGAGATTTCATGTCAAATCACTTAAAGGCTGGTAGAGCTTTAGTGTGCCTGCTTCAGAAAAGAGTGCCAAGTGTGGCATTCAGTTACTGTATTGAAAACACTAAGCTGACCCAGACTTAAGTCTGAATCCAACCCACGGGGAATATTTTAAGTTTGTTTACATTGACTCAGAGACTGTAGGGATGTTGCTGTGAGGTTGTGCTGGGCTACCATCCCTACCTGCCAGCCACAAAGTCATCAGTCATGTGAAAGAGACCTTTGTACATAAGGGCTCTGCGCATACACATTTGTATGTAAAGGTAAAGGGACCCCTGACCGTTAGGTCCAGTCGTAACCGACTCTGGGGTTGTGGCGTTCATCTTGCTTTATTGGCCAAGGGAGCCGGTGTACAGCTTCCGGGTCATGTGGCCAGCATGACTAAGCTGCTTCTGGCAAACCAGAGCAGTGCACAGAAACGCCGTTTACCTTCCCGCCGGAGCAGGACCTATTTATCTACTTGCACTTTGATGCGCTTTCGAACTGCTAGGTTGGCAGGAGCAGGGACCAAGCAACGGGGGCTCACTCGAACCGCCGACCTTCTGATCGGCAAGTCCTAGGCTCTGTGGTTTAACCCACAGCGCCACCCACATGTATGCATTTAGGGCCTATTCTGTGAAGCTGGGGCATGGCAAAAAGGAGTAGTGGCAAATATGGCTGCTCAAGATGGTTTCACAATCTCCTAACACATTGGGTGAATGTGTGGTGGGAGTAATTTGTACCCCCAGCATGTAAAGGTACAGTATGTGAGTACGGAGGAATGACAAATTATTATCCTTCAGTGCCTTATATATGTTAAGAGGCATGTAATTTGAACAGTTAATGTACATAAGAGTTGGACGCTGTGCACATTCACCAAGCCTCATGGCGAATGTGCACATCATCCATCCACAGGGAGGGAATTGTACACAATTCCTGGTCAATATACAAAATCCTCAACAGGTTTCAGGAAACGGGTATATATCTCGGTTTAGTTTTGTACATTCTCTGGCCATGATGCATAATCTAGCGCACTAAATGTAGTGATTTATTGTAGATTATGCTTATTAGCAGTTGTATTAATAATACTGATATAGAGCTACTGTAGTAAGATTATACTGTATTAATAATCAGCTAATTTTGCTTTTGTTCTTTTCATACTGTGCAGGTAATATAACAGTTGTCCCCATTGTCAAAACCATTGGGTTGGGCCTTGGTCTCTTAATCTGGGCTTCTTTTAACTTGCTAACCGGCTGGGCAAGCTCAAGGTAAGCACCATGTATACTTCACCTATAGTATGAGTCATCATACTATACTTAAAAATTACCATTAACAAGACCAATGTCTTGACAAAAGCATTTTCTCTCTGTGTAATGTACTTCATCGTAATATACGATCTTGCCCCAAAGATCAGGCTCAAAATATTATCTGGATACTTCCATCCTGATGTAATTTCTCAATCTTTATACATTCACAAGTTGACTTCAAGATGTTATTATGTGTGTGTCAGATATAATGTCAGCTAGGCCCTATAAACCATGTGAGGATCCTTAATATGCTGAATTAAATGTTTCCATGAGGAATTAATAGTTATTTATATTTTTAAAGAGTTGTTAAAAATTTTGCAATGTACAAGACTAGCTCAACTACTAAATATTTTTCAAGACAGTATTTTTATTTTTCTGATGGTTCATGAGATCGAGACATCTTTACTTCCAGGAATGGATTCATTTATATTTTTATATACATCCTTTCGGCATATACAAGAGCAAGTCAAACTGCAGTGCTGTGACCCTGGGGAAAAAATCAATGTTCTTTGCCAAGCTATCATTCCCTTGTACTTGTGATTGCCACACACAATTTATTTATGCAAGCTAGATAGCTTTTCCTGCACTTTTCTATGCCCTTCTCATTTTGGAAACAATTTAAAAGAGTTTTTAACCTTTCTGTTCACAGGTTTGGCTGGTTTGGGATTGACCCAGAAGAAGTAGCAAAACCAGCTTTAAACTACATTGGAGCTGGACTTTCAGTATTAAGGTATTAATAATCTTACTATATTTCTATTTTGAAACACTACTTATGCATATAAGTATGTGTGTGTATGTGTGTATATACATATATGCAAGTGAATCAGAATTTAAAAACGACTGAGGCAAAGTAAAACTTTTATTCTTTTGAGTCTGCAGGTAAGCTGTTGAAGGCTACAATTCCTAACCACATACTAGGTAGGAAGGAAGTCCCATTGGCCCAGTGAAATTTACTTCTTAGTAAATATGCATAGGATATCACCATTTATGAAGCAATGTTGTCCCTCAGCCAGAGATATTAAAGGATAATATCTTAACAAATGATTTTTAAAATCTGCAAAATGAAGTAAGGGAGATTAAATCATGTATGATTTAGCTGAGATTCCTGTATTGCAAGGGGTTGGACTAAATAATCACAATTCTATGATTCTTTAAGACACACACGCGCGCGCGCACACACACACACACACACACACACAGAGTCGTGCCTTGGAAGTCGAACGGAATCCGTTCCGGAAGTCCATTCCACTTCCAAAACGTTCGGAAACCAAAGCACGGCTTCTGATTGGCTGTAGGAAGCTCCTGCAGCCATTCGGAAGCCACGGAAGCCCCATTGGACATTTGGCTTCCAAAAATAGTTCGCAAACCAGAACACTTCCAGGTTTGCGGCATTCAGGAGCCAAAACATTCGAGAACTAAGCTGTCAAAAACCAAGGTACGACTGTGTGTGTGTGTGTGTGCATAAAATGCTACAACACGATGGTGTTTAGTTCATGATGATATTTCATTTGCAGTGCCATCCTATTTCTTTTCATAAAAAGTGATGTTGAGAGCTCTTCACTGTCATCGGAGAGCACCCCACTATTAAGACATGTAAGTTTTTGCTTTTGTTCATGTTACGCTTCCGCACTAGAAAAAAAACACTATAACACAGAACTTATTCCAACCACTTTCTTTTCAAGGTAGCCCTTACGAGGCCTCCCACATTTTTTCACAACTGTAAAGGATATTGGAAAGAAGAGAAAGTACCATTATTTGTGCCCTCTAGGGTTAGGAAGCAAGGAAGATTTAGCGAGACAAACTTATCAGGATATAGCTTCCAATGTTGTTCAATTATCAATTCAAAAATGAAAATAACTGGGGTGTTGAGAAATCTCTTTTCTTGGACATCTCAGTGTGTGTGAGTGCTTTTAAATGGGGGTTTTTGTGTTTTCGGTGCATTTTTTTTAGAGGGTTACTTATTTATTTGTTTTTTAATATCTATATTTATTATGTATTGTTGTACCTGCATTAATTTATGCTGTGAGCATCCTTGGGTCCTGCACTAGGAGAAATCAGGGAAAGAAAAGAAGAGCAATGAAATGAAATGAATAATATCCACAGATGCACCAGCTGCAAATTCTTTAGTTATCAGCTCCTAGCTCCTTCCTTCCTCATCCCCAAGTGAATGAGCATACCTAGCACAATCCAGGTCTGAATGTTTTCAGAAATCTTAGCCTTAATGGCTTTCCTTTTCACCAACAGTCAATCAACAGCTCTGATCATAGCGCTGAAAACAGGACTGATGCTTCATGGGTTGACCATCTTTCTCCGTTAGGAAAGAGAATGATGTAAGTTGTCCCACCCTTTCTAGTGAATTACCTCTAGCCTACCTGGCTCCTGTTTCATTCTTCCTTTGGTGAACTTCACAAGGCAATAAAGACAACAAACTGTAACCATTCTGTGGCAGTGATGAGTGCTCCAACATCTCTTTCAAGACAGCAATTTCTAGAAAACTACTGGCAGTTCTCCAGCATGTTTTTGGCCGCAGCTCTGCAAACCTGCAATGAATGTTGTAGTGCAATGGGTGTCTTTGAGTTTGTAATATCTTGATCTTTCTTTCTTTCTCCTGGAAGAGGCTGCTCCCTGGCTGTGATAGCTGGAATGTTTTATGGCTCGAGTTTTGTGCCAGTGCTTTACATCAAGGACCACGGCAGAAGGAATGGAACGAAATATAGCGGAGCAAGTCAGTTTGGTAAAGGCAGATGAATTGTTTTAATATCAAATTTAAACCTGTGGGAAATTTTGCTCATTCATGATGGGTGAAAGGGGAGGGGAAAGTCTTTCCCCCTTTGCTTATCTATCCCTTCTTTGTTTGTTTGTTTGTTTGTTTGTTTGTTTGTTTGTTTATTATATGTATTAATCACCTCATAATATAGTTTCTCTAGGTCATTGGTGAGGCGTTTCTAGCTTGCAGGCCTAATTTGCTCCATGACATGGTTTGACCCAAGCCACACCTACCTGTCCATCACTTGAGGTCATATGACATCAGGTGCCAGACAGATAAAGTCATGGCAGCAAATTTAAAAGGAAGAATTAGGAGCACACTTTCCCAGCCCTAGGCTACTGTGCCTTTAAATCACAGTCTTTCCCTCAAAGAATTCTGGGCACTGTAGTTCACCCCTCACAGAGTTACTGTTCCCAGCAATCCTTAACGAACTGCAGTAGTTCATCCATTGGTGACATCAACATTGAATTACAGCAGTGCACTCTATGCTGGGCTTCTCTTGCGCTTGACCTGAGAACTGCAGTTAGTGCAGAATGCTAGTGCAGTTGCTGATTTCTTACTGGGTAAAGTTCTAAGTTGCTACTATTGTTATATCAAGCCATTAATGGCTTGGGACCAGTTTACTTGCAGAATCACCTTATCCCATACGTACCCACTCAAAGGCTTTGATCTGTGAAACTGTCATCTTCACTGTGTTCTTTCCGGCGCTTACAGTCATACCTCGGAAGTCAGCCGTCTTGCTAGATGAACGTTTTGGCTCCCAAACGCCACAAACCAGGAAGTGATTGTTCCAGTTTGCGAACTATTTTTGGAACCCGAACATCCGTTGCGGCTTCCAGCAGCCAATCGGAAGCCGCGCCTTGGTTCCCAAATGTTTTGGAAGTCGAATGGACTTCCAGAACAGATTCTGTTCGACTTCCAAGGTACCACTATACTTGAAAACCTTTTTCGTTTTGGCAAGCCTATCCAAACACCAGACACACAGATGTTGATGTTTTTACATATTTTCTACTGTTATTTTTAATTGTTTTAAAACGTTTTAGAATGGTTTTTAACTATTTCTATTGATGCTTTTAATATTTGTTGTAAACCACAAAGAAATCATTTAGTTTAAATCAGTGAAACATTTAGTATAGTATTTACAGTCATGTTTACATCGCACATATATACTGAGCAAAGCCTCTTGATCAGCTAAAACCGGGGAAGGTATTGAAGACCTTATATGAACAAACGTGTGGCTAAGGTATGAGCAAGACCTTACCAGAAGTAATTGCTGCTTTTCTAGAATATTGTTAATTTCCTAAATATATTCTACATATGCATATGCCTCCCATTTTTGTTTCAGATTTAGATTACGTCTTTGCCCATTTTAGTGGCATCTTCCTTACAAGTACCATCTACTTCCTGATCTATTGTGCAGCAATGAAAAATAGACCTAAGGTTTATCCTGAAGCCATCATCCCAGGTAGAATTCTGAAATACATGTGCATTGCAGATCACTATCAAACATACTTCGTTCTGTTGCTATTAGACATATGTAGGCAATGTTTGAGTATGGGTATTTTGGGGAGGTATTATATTAATAATGTCGTAGTGGAAAAGTAGCCAACACGGTGCTCTCTAGAAGTTGTTGAACGCCAGTTCACATCTGGATCATCTGGAGAGCACTGCACTGGCTCCTCATAAAAAGAAACCTGTTACATATGGAAGAATACATCTGATTAGCTCATTCAACAAAGAATATGTTTGCATTTGCAAGGATACATACAGCTGTGCCTGCATCCAGGAGCAGGTGGGGCGTTTCTGCTGCAGGGAAAGATCAGTGCCCCACCAATTTGGTGCCCCTTAGCTCCTCAAGGGACACAAAGGCTGGTGTTAAATAGTGGCTTTCACCCCAGGCTAAAAATCAGATAGTCCCTGCTTTGTATTCATTTCTGACATGAACTCCTGGTGAATTTAAGGTGAGCTGTTCTCCTTCAGCCTCAGTTCCGCCCATTTACAATAACCATTACAGGATTGTTGTTAAGAATAGGAAAGTAGCCAATGCAGGCTAAGAGCTTTGAGCCCTTGAAAGCCCTTTGCAAATGCAGCATGGCCTTAGGATTCGAGCTGGGCAATATATTGGTAAATGGTCTGAAACCTCTATGCCATTTCAGATCGCAATGCCCGCTTTCAGACATTTTGGGCTGGCAATACATCACACCAGCTCAAATTACTTGCAGACGGCTCCTTCCTTGGAGGTTTTTAAGCAGAGGTTGGATGGCCATCTGTCATACACGATTTAGCTGATATTCCTGCGCATAGCTGGCAACGTTTCCCTTTTTTTAAGAGAAATTCCCTTATTCCGAATAGGATTCCTCGCAAGAAAAGGGAAAAGTTGACAGCTATGTTCCTGCGTGGCAGGGGGTTGGACTAGATGACCCCCCTGGGTCCCTTCCAAGTCTATATTGCTATGATTTCTATGGGTAACAAAATATGCTTATTTGTTGTCAGGATTTGTTTCTGGTGTATTGTGGGCGATTGCCACTTCCTGTTGGTTCCTAGCAAATCATTACCTCAGTGCTGTGGTCAGCTTTCCAATAATCACAGCGGTAAGTACCAAAGAAGGACCTGCTCATAAACATAGGTTTCAAAGGGGGGGGGGGTTGCATATCAAACCACATATACACCCCACCCCACTCCTGTCTTTGTTATGGAGGTTTCACGTACAATAGAGTGTCATGAAATTCTACTCAATATTGATCCAGAGCAGAACTCTGACGTATAGTTAGCAGATCAAAAACTTAAAATACTTTGCAGGATTCCCAAAAAACAGATCAGAGGCAATTATATTTCATCCAGCAGAGCTTTACTGCTACTGAAGGCAAGTGAGCATAATGGTCACAAATCAAATACATTCAGGATTGGCACTGTCCATAAGAAATCCAGTTGCAACAGACCCAACTTAAACTTACAATAACTTATAAAAAGTCTAAAACCTTAACACTATATACAGAACACCACATCAGAAGGAAAAGAGATAGAAAGAAAAGTGAAACCTAAGCTCCTTCTGGCCTTAGTTTTATAGTAAGCATGACCTTGACTGAAACAGAACCAGTTTAAGCCAGCTGTACCTAGTTTCTCTGAAGGAATAACCCAAACATCATGAACCTTCTGCTTGTTTCTTTCACACAGAAAAGCTTCTAGAACCCTCTTGAATTAATTAGAATAGGAAAGATCTCTACATATCAGATCAATACTTTCTAATCTAAGAAATGCAAACTGACACAGAGGTGGGCAGACTTCAGGCTTGCGGGATCTACTTTTGCTTTTTACTGTAACCACAAGATCTACCAATCAGGCTTGGTGCAAAAGAATTCTGAACCCTGGAATTTGGTTTGGGCACCAAACTTGAATAGCCTGAACCCATATAGACTGAATATCTCAGCTGACTAGAGTGTGGTGCTGACAGTGCCAAGGTTGCAGGTTCTATCCCCGTATGGGACAGCTGCATATTCCTGCATTGCAGGAAGTTGGACTAGATGATCCTCAGGGTCCCTTTCAACACCTACAATTCTATAATTCTAACTGAACTGAGCCCCCACAAAAAATACACTCCTGGTTACACACAATTTTCCGTTTTGGTGGTATGATTTAGGGTTGGGGAAGTCATTTTGTTTCTGCCATTGTTAAATCATTGGCAGTCGGGAATCCTAATAGATCTACTACAAATCGCCCAGAAATCCAGATCTGGCCTCTTCCAGCTCTGACAGACGACATTCATTATGTTCTTCTCATTTTAAGACAATGTGCTTTCATCTCTCTAGCATCTACAGTGGTACCTCGGGTTACAGACTCCGCTAACCCAGAAATAGTACCTCGGGTTAAGAACTTTGCTTCAGGATGAGAACAGAAATCACATGGCGGTGGTGTGGCAGCAGCGGGAGACCCCATTAGCTAAAGTGGTACCTCAGGTTAAGAACAGTTTCAGGTTAAGAACAGACCTCCGGAACAAATTAACTTCTTAACCCGAGGTACCTCTGTATTGCATTCTGCTTGACCATGCTCATTCTGATGGAAAACAAGGTGGTCAGAATCTTCATGCTGTTAGAGAAGGATGCTGACCTGCACATCTATGAGGAACCCCTAAATGGGAAAGGAAGCAGTGGGCATTACTTTCCATGGGAAAGTGTGCCTTGGTTTTGGAACGCTTTGCTTTTGGAACAGACTTTTGGAACAGATTAAGTTTGAGAATAACACACAGTTGTAACATAAAGTCTCCTTGCAGCGTTCCAACACACACTAGGCTCTGGCCAAGGGCAAATTGACTTCAAACACATGTACATTTTTATACTTTCGATTGTGCTAAGTCACTCTCACATGCTCAGCTAGTTGCAGGTGCAGGACAAACACACCCAGAATTAACCAGCACACCTAACTTAACCCTTTTTTGTCCCTTTTCTCTGCATGCATAAACCCTGGTACATTGACAGAACTCCTCAAAATAGCTCTCTCAAGCAAATGGGGGAGCTCAGAGAAGAGTGCACTGTTTCATAGCCCATTGACCCCTTTAGGCATGAAGGAAAAGTTCAAAGCAGCCATTGAGAGGAACTGTGTCAGGGGAGGAGGCAAGCTGCTCTCCTTATTCTCCAGTTGAGAAGAGGGAAAGGATAAAAAGTCCTTCCCACCACAAGCGCCACTTTTCATCATGGCAATCTGCAGTTGCACCTGTCCTGTTGACTTATAGGGTGCAGTAAATTATAACAAGCTGCAGAGATGAGGATCACTCAGCACATATATCTTGTCCTTTTTCAGAAGGAGGAAATTGGAGATACTTCTGAGCCGTTTTGAGATAAAATGTGCAGGGGCAGCTGAGGTCAAAGCTGGCAATAGAAAAGAAATTGCAATAAATATTCTGGCTACCGCACAGCAGGGTACTAAAAATAGGAACCTTTGTACTTCATTTATGGAAATGGATGTCTGGGATGAGCAGCAAGGTAACTAAGATTGGAAACACCTTGAAAAGCAGTGGGGAAATTGTGCTCTAGAGATAGGCGGGGAGGAGAGAAGGAAAGCCAGTTTCAGAGCAAAGCCTATTACAGATGTTGTGCGTGGGCATATTTCAGCCTGGATGTCTGTGACCTGGGTGTCTGTAATATGTGCAAAGAGTGGCAAGCTTTAAATCCACTTTAAAGCAGTGGTGCTTGCTTCTGAGTAGACATATATAGCAGTGATGTCCAACCGGTTGACCACAATCGACATGTAGATCGCCTTCATGTTCCCGGTAGATCGTGGTTGATTGCATGCAAGTAATGTCCCCACCTCCCGCCCCAGTTGCAAGGTTCCTCCGTTGGCATCAGCATCAGTTACCAAAAAGCGAAAGTAATGTTAGCTTTAGTGCGGCGTTCGATAGTCAGCACATCAGTTTCTTGTGAGCGTTTGTTCTATTCCCTCCCCCAAAATAAGCTCTACAAACACTTTGCCTTCTCCCCTAAAAAAGAAAAAAGCTCAACAACTCTGACCAACCCCCCCCCCCAAAAAAAATCATACAGAACAAAGAAATTGAGGGGGGGAGACAATGGGTAGATCAATGCCAGTTATTTTATACTGGGAGTAGATCACAGTCTCAAGGGCAGCTTTTCTCAACCTGTGGGTCCCCAGATGTTGTTGAACTACAAGTCCCATCACCCCAGCTAGCAAGGCCAGAGCTCAGGGATGATGGGAGTTGTAGTCCAACAACATCTGGGGACCAACAGGTTGAGAACTGCTGCTCTAGGGAGTTGGATGTGCCTGATATATAGGATTGCAACTGTAAATGTATCTTTGCATATAGAGTCATAGAACTGTAGAGTTGGAAGGGTCCACATGGGTCATCTAGCCCAACCCCCTGCGAAGGAGCTTCCAGGGTGTTTCTAGTATGGGATTCAGTTACATATCAGCATATTCGGGCTGTGCCATTGCAGTTCATTTGGAGCTCTCGCCAAACAAACCTGATTCCCCCTCAGAAAAGGGGGGGGGGGGTTTTTTGCGGTAAGGAAAGTGACAGAGAAGCATACTGGGAAATGTGGGTTAACACTTGGTTGATGAAACATCCTCTATCCTCCCAACAACAAACACATCCAAATGGATTCTCAATAAAACACAGGCCTCCCTGCAAACAAATCAGGACGATGGCTCAATAAAGCAGGTAATCTGTAAGTGCCCCCCAGAGGTTTGCTTTGTTTTTGCGGGATTGGCATGCCTTTTATTAAAGGCCATTATCTTCTCACATTCTTCTTTCTGTCATCATCACGAGCAACAATTTAGCACATGATTACGTTTTAGTGAAGGCAAGATTGAATTTAAATAAGATAATTGGGCTCTAGCAAATCCTCATGAACAAATGCTATTATGATTATTCATCGTGTCTTAATCTTGTTCTCCAGGGTCCTGGCTTTATAGCTGCAATGTGGGGAGTCCTGGTATTTAAAGAAATAAAGGTAAGGGCTGCAACATGTTCCTCTCATCTTTGATGTATCCGCATCAGAAAAAATGATGCTTGGGAAGTTCTAAGTATCGGGGGGGGGGGAGGCAGGCAAATCTAGAGATTTTTTATTTCTTTCTCTCTAGTAATACTAGGTCATCCATTGAAGCTGCAAGGTGGGAGGTTCAGAATGATTCTTCCCACAGCACATAGATAACCTATGGCGTTTGCTGCTATGTGACCACCAACTAAGATGGCTTAAAAAGACCCCATTTAGACAAATTTATGGTGGATAAGTCTTCTCATAGCTACTTGTTTTGGGGGGGCTATGTGTGTAACAAAATTCCCAGTGACAGCTTCTGCTAAGGAAAGGAATTTCCTTATGTTACGCATTTATATTACCGTATTTTTCGCTCTATAAGACACACTTTTCCCCTCCTAAAAAGTAAGGGGAAATGTGTGTGCGTCTTACGGAGCAAATGCAGGCGGGAGACTCTGCTCAGTGCTCCCTTTAAAGAGCCGCGTGGAGCCCCCAAGAGTCCCACACACACTCCGCGCACTCTTTAAGGGGAGCGCGGCTCTTGGGGGAGCCTTAGCCGTGCGCAGCCTCTTCCGGGCAGGGGGAGCCTTCATCCCGCTGCCCGGGAGAGGCTGTGCGTGGCTATCCCATAAGCCAGGACAGCACAGTGATCCCGCTTGATGTCCTGGCTTCTGGAATTCAAAATATTTTTTTTCTTGTTTTCCTCTTCCAAAAACTAGGTGCGTCTTATGGTCTGGTGCGTCTTGTAGAGCAAAAAATACGGCATATTGTTTGTTGTGTTCTATGTTGTAAATCGCCCTCTGGTCCTTTAAATGAAGGGTGGCATACGCATTTTAAACATTAAATAAATAAATAAATCCAAGCTTTTGGGAGAGGCAGCTTGTAGTGAGGCAGCATTGTGGAAAAGCAGGGGCTTAACCAGCCACTTCCCTGATACATACATACACTCACACACACTAATACACCACTATTCTCCTTACTGGTTCCGGGTTTGAAAGCGTAAACCCCCACCTGAAACACTGTGGGAGGCTAGTGGGGAAAGTCCCTAAGAAGGATGTTGTGGCTGCAAAGTGGGGAGAGGCAAGGACCTCCTCCTCCTCTGCACCCCTTTCCAGAACTTCAGTTTTCCTAGAAAGAGCAGCTGCTGGAATTTGTTGCCCCATGTCCATGTATAACGTCTAGTCCTGTCTTTCCTTGCTGCATTGAACCAGCCTATTTTCCCTACATGGGTGTGTTTGTTTACATTCAGGAATGGGTCATCCAGTGGGGCAGAGACAAAGCAATAGTCTCCTGGCAGCAGCGTTGCTGCAACTCACTAGAAGGGGGAACAGCAAAGGTGGGTGGGTGGGTGTGTACCGGTAGGAGTGCCAGATTGGCTCTATCATTGTGCCCACCGAGTTCTGACCTTTCTGCCACCTCAATTCTCCACCTCTGGATGAGTGTCTGCAGCTGATACTGCTGCTGCGAGGCTGTTAGTGGCACTCCACCCCACTGGATGAGCTGCCCCTCCACACATTATTATCACATTTATATCTCACCCATGCTCCAAGAAGCTCAAGGCAGTGTATGTTAGGCTGAGAGATAATGACTGGCCCACCAAGATCACTCTGTATAAGAAAGGGGCCCAGGTGTCTCCACTGCAAGTTCAGCACTCAAACTGATGTTACATACTGTTTCATACAGGTAATTTGGCCAGATAAATTTAACTAAGCAAATATTATCTGACCGCTACCATTTGTATAATGTGTTCTGACAAACGCATATCTTACTCTACAATAAAGTTGTCGGTGTGCAGCATTTTGCAAATAACGCAATACCAAGCCTGACTTCTGGAAAATAACACCACTTCTCTTTCTTCCCCACACATCCCAGGGGGTGGTCTGAAGGTACATGAGGGCACAACCTTGCTGAAACCAGGCAGGTCTGGGTCTGGTGAGTCTGGGACCCCCTAGGAACCAGAGTAGGCCGTCTTGGAGGTCATAATGGTCAAAAGGCAAGATATAAATGTAAGAACATTTGAAAAATAACAAATAATCCCTTTCTATGTCTATGCAGGGGCTGAAAAACTATCTGTTGCTTCTAATAGCATTTTGTGTTATTTTGGCTGGGTCGCTCTCGACAGCTTTTTCTAAAGTCTGAAGAACCACTGCCTGAACCAGCAGGTGGAGCTGTGGCTTAAGACACGAAAGAGAAGATAATATCTGGCATTTTCTTGGATCACTAATATCATCACTCTCGCCAGAGAAGCAAGGGCAAAAGTCCATAGAGCAAGAACTTTTTGTGGGAAATGCAAGGCATTCATCATGTTTTCCACATTTGGGAAGATAAGGGAAAACCTTTTTATGTTCTCTCAGCTGGATGATTATGGGCTGAAATCCAGGTCAGAGGTTTTAATGATCCCATTATGTTTTATATTATGGCTTGTTGTTTATTGGGGTGAGGGTAACGTATAAAAGGAAGAGTTCAGTGAAGTGTAAGTGCTGATTACTATGCAGAGGAAGTAATGTTTGTGTTGGGGCATTGCATCTTTCTTTTATTTCTAATACCGGACCTTTTAATAAAGAACATCACCCAGATACTCCACCTTTAGACAAAGACACACAGAGTTTGCTCAGCAAACAGTCTGATGAAGAGTTCTAGAGAACTCGAAGAGTTTCCTCACCGCTTTATGACATTCTGGTTTACCCTTGTCGATTTTGTGTTGCTTTCTTTGTAATGAACCCAAGGTAGCTACCAAAAAGTTTCTGGACCATCCTGTTGAGGGAGCACAATGCACCAACCCTGTTGAAGCCAAGCAGGTCTGGTCATTGCCTGGATGAGAGTCCATCTGGGAATCTTGTGTAGGCCATCTTGAGCTCCATAATGGAAAAAGATGGGAGATAAATGTACTGAACAAATAAAGAATTTTAAGCTTGCCCAAGGACCTGCACTGGAGGCCATTCCCAGTGGGCAATTTCAGGGGAATTGACCAGCTCAAACATTGGGATGAGCATCCTAATGGCTTGAGATATTCGGCAGTGGAAGAACCTGCCTTGGGAGATTTTGGGCTGTCGTTCACTGGAGTTATTTAAACTGAGTCTGGACAGTCATCTACAGATTGAACCCTGCTTCCCCTCCAAAATGGGATCGCCTCTATACATTCCTCCTCCTATCAGCAAAGCTGTTATGATATTGTAATGAGTATGAGTTACTCGTGCGTAAACTGGTGCCTCTCTAGGCTAGTTTGCCTTGTTAAACCTTTCTGACTGCACAGCCCTTTCTCATCATGACTGTCTCAGTCACTAGCAGAATCCGTCAGTGGGCGTTTCTTGAATCTCTTCCAACATAAGAGTTGTTTGACACCCAATCTCCTCCGCCTCTCACTGCGCGGGAGCCTTCTGCGCAGGGTGGGCGTGGGTAGCGGGGACCTGTCCCCTCCTCACTGAGTTCCAGTGAAGAGTCCGTGAGCCCTCTCTCCGATTTCCCCATCTGCTCACTTTTGTTCCTGGTGCTGCGCTTAAATGCTTCCCCCTCCACTGAGTTGCCTCTCCCCCTGCTGCTGGGTCCTTCTCCAGCATCATCCAGGAGCCTCCCCTTTGCCTCCCGCTCTGATGTCAGTTCCCTGACATCCACCTCCCCCCCAGAATCCCCTCCACCCCTGGACCGACCTGTGGGACCAACTTCATCCCCTTCGTCGGCCGAGGAGGCGGGGAAACCCCGGAAGGAACTGTCACTATCTTCTGTAGGTTCGAAACCCGCTTCCCAATCGCTCTTCCACCTACCAACGGGGTGGTCTTCCCCGTCTGATGCTTCTTCCTCCGAAACCTCTCCTCCCTCCTCGGAGTCAGAAAATCCCTCAAAAACCTCTTCCTCATCTGTGGTCCCAAATTGCTCCTCCCAGAATCTCTCCAGGGGTTTGGGTTTGTCCGGAAACCGGCGGTGGAATACCTCCACCAGATACCTGTCCTCGACGGCTTCCGTGGGGACCCATGTGTTTTCGGACCTGGGTTCCCCTTCCCACGCTACCAAATACTCCACCCGGCGCCCTTGCCACCTTGAGTCCAGTATTTCCGTGGCCCTTTGGTGGTGTTCCCTTTCTTCTACCTGCGGGTGTGTGGTGACTTCTCCCTCTTGCCCCTGGAATTCCCGCCCTTCCCTATGCGGTGAAAGCAGGGACCTATGGAAAACCGGGTGTATTTTCATGCTATCAGGCAACTTGAGCTTAAATGCCACGGGATTAACTTGCTGTGTTACCTCAAAAGGTCCCAGCCGGGGGCTTCCGGGGGGCGGCGCGAACGGTAATGGCGGTCTTCTCCCGACCGGAGAAGAAGCTCCGCTGAAATCGGGTCGTCCGCTACGGCGAAGCGGAGACCCAACGAGAAAAACCCCAGGCAGCAAGAGCCTGGGGTCCTGAGGCTCGGCGGGCGCCAAGAGCAGCCCTCCAACTGCAGAAGGAGCCTCGTAAGAGGCTCCGGAGCGTGGAGGGGCTGCGGCGCTGTGAGCCGTTTCACAGTCAGCGGAGTGAAGCCGCGCTGCTGCTGCCGGTGAGCGCTGATCCCTTTTCCTGTTAAAATTCGGACCTGGAAGAAAACAACTTACTCGTGAGTAAAGACTGAATCACTTGGAATTACAAATTTTAAATGAGAAGGTTTAAATTGACTTGAATTTGGCTGAAAGCGGAGAGACGTGGAAACAGGAAGTCCGTCTTCCGCTGCCATTGAACTTGGAAAAAAAAGCAACTAAGGTGGAGGAGTGGAGGCTGAAAGAAAGAGATTTTAAACTCTACACAGCCAAGCATCTATGGAACTTACAATTTAAAGTAAAATTAGCAAGTTAAAGATTTGGACCTTTTATTTGCACTTGACTTTCCCCTTTTATTGGATTACAAATTGGAAGGTGAAACCCAGAGTCAGGATTGCTTGAGCACTGTAACAGTGGGCTGTCAGTGTTTGACTTGGATACTGTATATTAGAAGTTGCAACAATCTGAGGGTATTGAGACCTTTTAATTTTGAAACATTCTTTTGGAGACAAATAAGCACTGTCTGCAACAAAGTGATTACCTTTAAACTCTGCTTAATACTTATATTGGAAGGTTCTGGGACATTAAATCAGACTCTGAAAAGACATTTTAAGCTCCCTCTAGAGGATTGGATTAAAACAGTGACTTTATAAAAACATTTACTTTCGATTCTCTTGTTGTCTGCTTGCTCTGGGCCTCTCTATTCCTGTGGGAAAAACTCAGTGTGACCTTGACTGATAGATAACATTGGAATGAGTGGTACAAGAAGAAGAGGAAGAGTTAGACAAACAACTCTAACAAATCTAACCTCAGCCTCGCAGACACGTAGATCATCTGTGCCTACTTTGCCCTCAGAAGTACAACTTGAAGAAGCTGCCTTGCCACAGGCAAAAGAGGGAGAGGGTGAAGTAGAGCAGTTACAATTGGAAGATATGGCCTCAGGAGCATCTGTTTCTGTGCTAGAAAAAATCTTTGAAAAATTGGAAGCTTTGGACAAGAAAGTAGATGCGCAATCAGCAAAGATTGATAAAAATACAGATTGTCTAAACAAATTAACTACACAGGTGGGACAGAATACACAAGCAATTGGACAGTTGACGGAGGCCTCAGTAGAAAACCGAAAATTGGCTGAGGATACCAGACAAAAATTGGAAAATTTAGAGCAAGAGGTAAGACCACTCACTAAACAAGTTGGGGAACATCAGATTTATCTTTCTATGATAGAACTGCGAAATCGTGAGAATAATTTGAGGATTAGATCATTACAAGAGGCAGAAGAAGGAAATCTAACTGAGTTTTTGACCAAAGAACTTTCCAAGTTCTGGAATTTGGAAGAAAAGGACTTTAAAATTGTGTCAGCTTTCAGACTTGGAAGATTTATAAAGAAGGAGAGGCCCAGGGATTGTTTGATTACATTGAGATCGAAGGAGGAAAGGGATAAGATTTTGGGCCTACATTACGAAAAGTCACTGGAAGTTTTGGATAGAAGAATTGAGATATATAAAGATATCCCAAGACAACTGTTGGACCTTAGAGCCGCCTATTCCGAACTTGCTAAACTATTAAGGAGCAACGCAATTCCATTCAGGTGGGATTTTCCCCAAGGATTATCTTTTACCTTTAGAGCGAGAAAGGTTAAAATTAGAACATTGGAAGAGAGAGATAAATTTCTGGCTACACACGGAGAGGACCTACATAAAGGAATTGAACTACCTTCCGGGCCTGAGGCAAAGCCAGCATCAATACCTCCACCTCGGGAACTTGAAGATCAAGAGAAGACACCACCCCAGGAGAAATAACCAGATAGATCCAGGATGTCTCTGCAACTGTTGAGCTGGAATATTAATGGTTGCAATATTCCGGAGAAAAGGAAGAAAATATTTCATATATTAAAAAAGAACAATTGGACATTATTTGCTTACAAGAAACACATGTGACGAGGCTCCACAGAAAAGTGTTAATAAATAAAAGATTGGGCCAGGAATTTATTTCGTCGGATAAAGTGAAGAAGAGAGGAGTGGTGATATATGCAAAAGAGAGCCTGTCACCTAAATTTCTATTTAAAGATGAACATGGAAGGATTTTGGCTATTGAGATACAATATCAAGGAGAGAAACTGCTGATATTAGGAATCTATGCGCCTAATGAAGGGAAATCGGAATTTTACAAGAAGTTGCAGGGGACAATGCTGGATCATCTGGATTACAACAACATCATAATGATGGGAGACATGAACGGGGTCGTGTCAACTAACATGGACAAGTCGCAAAGTCAAAACATCACAAAAGATGGCAGACTACCTAAAACCTTTTTGAAATGACTGACAATATGGACTTGATCGACATTTGGAGAACAAAGAACCCACTAGGTAGAGAAGGAACATTCTTTTCTGAAGCCCAACTGACCTGGACAAGAATCGACCAAATATGGATCTCTAGAGGCCTGGCACCTAGGGTTAGAAAAGTGGAAATCTGCCCAAAGACCTGTTCTGACCACAACGCAGTAAAGATGGACATGACACTACTACCAACTGGATCCTTTAGATGGAAGATGAATGACAATTTGTTTAGAGATCAGGAAATTACCAAGAAGGCCCAAAAAGTTTTGAAAGATTATTTTGAGATAAATATGAACAATTCGGTGGAAAAAGAATCGTCTGGGACGCAAGCAAAGCTGTCATGAGGGGATTCCTGATACAACAGAATGTAGTAAAGAAAAAAACACAAAATGAGAAAAAAGACAAGATTTTGGATAAAATAAAAGAATTAGAGAAGAAATTAAGAGTGAATCCAAAGTCACAGCCAACTCTGAGAGAAATTAAACTGTATCAAACACAGTATTCTAAATTGATAAATCAGGAAATTGAATGGAAGATCAAATTAATGAAACAAAAAACGTTTGAGTCGGCGAATAAATGTGGAAAACTGCTATCCTGGCAGTTGAAGAGAAGACAAAGATTAAACACGGTTACAAATTTAGAGGTTGATGGAAGAAACATTCAGAATCCAGTGGACATTAGAAAGTGTTTCCAGAGATATTTTAAAAATTATATACCCAAGGGCCGCAAGACGAAGTTGAGATTAAACAATTTTTGCCAAAAATGGATTATCTAAACTGTCACAAGAAAATAGGACAATCCTGAACTCTAAAATAACACGACAGGAGATTGAACAAGCTATTCAGAACATGCAACTTGGCAAATCTCCAGGGCCAGACGGGCTGACCTCCAAGTATTACAAGACACTAAAAGACTATTTGATACAACCCTTGATGGAGGTTAGCAATGAAATTATGGAGGGGAAGAGGGCACCGGATTCGTGGAAGGAAGCGTTTATCACATTGATACCAAAGTCAGAAACTGAAAAGACACAACTGAAGAACTACCGTCCCATCTCCCTTTTAAATGTGGATTACAAAATATTTGCAGATATTTTGGCAAGTAGATTTAAAAAGTTTTAAATGAAGTAATTCATAAGGACCAGGCCGGTTTTCTCCCAGGTAGACATTTGTTTGCTAACACAAGGAACATTATTGATATTTTGGAACTTCTCCAAACTGACATAAATACAAAAGCTGTTTTAATTTTTATAGATGCGGAGAAGGCCTTTGATAACATTTCTTGGAAATTTATGATGGGAAACTTAAAAGAGATGGGAGTGGGACGGGGTTTTGAGAATGGGATTGAGGCGATATATTCAGAACAGAAAGCAAAACTGATAGTTAATAATGTGGTTACAGAAGAGTTCAAAATTGAAAAAGGGACACGACAAGGTTGCCCTATTTCCCCTTTGTTATTTATTTCGGTCCTGGAAGTGCTATTGAACATGATTAGAGGGGACCAGCTGGTGGAAGGAATTCAGGTTGGTCAGAAACAATATAAATTAAAAGCTTTTGCAGATGACCTGGTTTTGACCTTGCAGAAGCCAGAGCCTAGTACGAAAAGAGTATTACAATTGATTAATGATTTTGGTCGGGTGGCGGGATTTAAATTAAACAAACAGAAAACTAAGGTTTTGGGGAAAAATCTGACTGAGACAGAGTCAGAACGGTTTCAGAATGAGACGGAACTTAATGTGGTTAAAAAGTAAAATACCTAGGGGTAAACATAACAGCAAAAAATCTAAGTCTATTTAAGGATAATTATGAAAAATGTTGGACAGAAATTAAGAGAGACTTAGACAGTTGGTCAAAATTGAAACTTTCTTTGTTAGGCCGAATTGCTGCGATTAAGATGAATGTATTGCCAAGAATGTTGTTTTTATTTCAAACACTGCAGGTATTGGACAAAATGGAGTGCTTTCAGAAGTGGCAGAGAGACATTTCGAAGTTTGTCTGGCAGGGCAAAAAGCCCAGAATTAAGTTTAAGATACTAACCGATGCAAAACAAAGAGGGGCTTTGCCCTGCCGGACTTAAAGTTGTACTATGAAGCCGCAGCGTTCTGCTGGCTAAAAGACTGGCTACTTCTTGAAGACACTGATGTGTTAGATTTGGAGGGGTTTAACAATGTTTTTGGATGGCATGCATATTTATGGTATGACAAAGTTAAAGCAAATAAGGCCTTTAAGAACCATATTGTTAGAAAATCACTGTTTAATGTCTGGACAAAATATAAAGACTTGCTGGAAAATAAAACACCAAGGTGGCTTTCACCTTTGGAAGCTAAGGCCCGAAAAAGACCCAATATGGAGGCCAAATGGCCAAAATATTGGGAAATACTAGAAAAAGATGGAGACAATTGGAAATTGCAGAGCTTGGAGAAAATGAAAGACAAAGTGCGAGATTGGTTACACTATGCTCAGATTAAAGAAGTTTTTAAAAGTGATAAGAAACTAGGGTTCCAGGTGGAGAAATCGAAATTAGAAACAGAATTGTTAGAACCAAAGACTAAGATACTTTCAAGGATGTATAACTTGCTGTTGGAATGGAATACACAAGATGAAATGGTTAAATCGGCTATGATAAGGTGGGCACAGGATATTGGGTATAATATTATGTTTGAGGACTGGGAAAGGCTGTGGAGTAATGGATTGAAATTTACTGCATGTAATGCTTTGAAAGAAAATGTAATGAAAATGATTTATAGATGGTATATGACCCCAGTCAAACTCGCAAAAATTTACCACCTGTCTGATAACAAGTGCTGGAAATGCAAAGAGTGTGAAGGAACGTTCTTTCACCTCTGGTGGACATGCCCTAAAGTGAAGGCGTTCTGGGAAATGATTTATAATGAATTGAAAAAGGTATTTAAATATACTTTCACTAAGAAACCAGAGGCTTTCCTTTTGGGTATTGTCAGCCAAGGGGTGGCAAAGAAGGACCAGACATTTTTATGTATGCAACAACAGCAGCAAGGATACTACTCGCAAAACATTGGAAAACCCAAGATCTACCCACACTGGAAGAATGGCAGATGCAACTGATAGACTATATGCAACTGGCTGAAATGACTGGCAGAATCCGTGACCTGGGAGAAGAGAGAATCGAGGAGGATTGGAAGAAATTTAAGAACTACCTACAAAAACATTGTGATTTGATTGAATGCTGAATAAGATGCTGGACTAAATAACTGAGCACCACTTAACTTAGAAATTTTTAAGGAAACAAGAAAAATTGTGAAAGTTTAACTCTTTATGAGAACTTTAAGATTATGAAATATCGAAGAGATATAAGAATTTAAATAAGATGATAAATTGCTGACAAAATGTTATAATGATGAAGGTGGGAGCGGGAGATGTGAGGAAGTCCAAAGAAAATGTGAAATTATGTTAAGACGAATGCTATATTGTTTATTACATTTATTCCTATTGTAAAACCCAAAGGTCCCAGCCGTCTGGGCTGCAACTTCTTGCACCCCCCTTTGAAAGGTAGCCCTTGGGTGGACAACCACACCCGGTCCCCCACCCGTATGGTCTCCCCTTCCCTGCAGTGCTTGTCTGCCTGCCTCTTGTAAGTTTCCTTGGCCCGCTCCAAGTTCATCTTAAGTTGCTGGTGTAGGGCCTACATTTCTTCCACAAACTGCTCTGCAGCAGGTACGCTCCAGCTTTCCTCCCCACTCCCCGGGAAGGCCCTGGGATGACACCCATGGTTGGCCATGAATGGGCTCATTCCCGTGGACACGTGTTCTGCGTTGTTGTACGCGAATTCAGCCAGCGCTAGTTTTTCTACCCAATCGTTCTGTCTCTCACTGACATAGCAGCGTAGGTATTGCTGGAGTATACTGTTCGCTCTTTCTGCTTGCCCGTTGGTTTCTGGGTGTCTCGCCGTCGAGAAACCCACCTCCACCTGTAGTAAGCTCATGAGCTTCCTCCAGAACCGGGAAGTAAATTGTTTTCCGTGGTCGGAGATAACCCTCAAGGGGGCGCCATGCAGCCGGAATATGTGCTCCACAAACAACCGGGCTGTTTCCTCTGCCGTTACAGCATGTGAGCAAGCTATAAAATGGCACATTTTTGTCAGTAGGTCGACCACTACCATGACTGCTGTCTTCCCCGGGACTTGGGCAAATCTGTCATAAAATCAATGGATACCACCTCCCAGGGTTTCCCGGCGTGGGTAAGGGTTCCAGCAATCCTGTGGGGGCAGCCCGCTCCCCTTTGCCCTTTGGCAGCGGTCGCACCCCGTACATATTCCCGTACATCCTCCCTCACCCTGGGCCACCAGAACTGCCTGGTCACAAGCATCATGGTTTTGTGCTGTCCAAAGTGCCCGGCTGTGGGGGTGTCGTGGAGTTGTTTGAGTACCTTGTCCCTCAGGGTCTCCCCCGGTACGTACAGCGCTCCCCTATAGTACAGTACCCCTTCCTTCTCCTCAAACCCTTCTTGGGTCCCTCTTCCGTCTCGTAGTTCCCGGATTTTAGTTTGCGCGAACACGTCGTTTCTGGTCAGCCCGGCTAGTTCTCGTTTCCCCACCAAAGTTCCCCACACACCCATCGGTCCTCGGGGATCACGTGTCGTTTCTCCGGCGGCCCCTCTCCTTCCAGGTACTCCGGTTTACGCGAGAGAGCGTCTGCTCTTACGTTTTCTTCTCCGGGCACGTAGCGGATTTCAAAGAAAAACTTGGAGAACTCCTGTGCCCATCGAATCTGTCTCTGGTTGAGTACTCGTGCGGTTCTCCAGTACTCCAAGTTCTTGTGATCTGTGCAAACCTGGATCTGTTGTTGCGCCCCTATCAGTAGATGACGCCAACGACGAAAGGCCGCGTAGATTGCCAGCAGTTCGCGGTCATACACTGTATAGTTTTGCTCCGACTTGCTCAGTTTTCTCGAGAAAAAGGCACACGGTTTCCATTCCTGCTTTCCCTTCCCTGGCTGCAAAAGGACCGCCCCTACGGCTCTGTCGGACGCGTCGGTCTCTAGCCTCAGGGGTTTCTCCAGATCTACGTGCAGGAGTTGCTCTTCCGATGCGAACGCCTTCTTCAGTTTTTCGAAGGATTGCTGGGCCTCTTCTGTCCACACAAACTTCTTTTTGCTACTGAGACAATCCGTGATGGGCGCTGTCAAGTGGGCGAAGTTCTTGATGAACTTCCTGTAGAAGTTGCTGAACCCTAGGAACCTCTGTACGTCCTTCCGTGTTTTGGGAGCCTTCCACTCCAGCACTGCCTGCACCTTGCTTGGGTCCATCGCTAAGCCTTTGTCAGACAACTTGTACCCCAGAAACTCGACTTCTCTGGCGTGAAACTGACATTTTTCCAGCTTGACCCACAACTGGTGCTTCTGCAGTCGTTGTAACACTTCCCTGACGTCTCTAACATGTTGTTCCTCATTGTCCGAATAAATTAAGACGTCGTCCAAGAAGGCTACGCAGTTCTTGTACAGCAGAGACCCCAACACGTGGTGCATGAAAGCTTGAAAACAGGCGGAGCCCGACTGTAATCCAAAAGGCATAACTAAGTACTCAAAGGCACCTAGGGGTGTGAACATTGTGGTCTTCCATTCGTCCCCCTCCCTCATCCTGATCAAATTGTATGCGCCCCTGAGGTCCAGCTTGGTAAAAATTTTGCCTTTCCTCACTCGCGTTAAAATGTCGTCAATCCTGGGCATTGGGAAGGTCACGGGTTCTGACACCAAATTGACAGCTCTATAGTCCACTACGAGCCTGGGTTTATTTGTGTCCTTTTTGTCCACAAAGAACACCGGACTGCCCCCTACTGCCTTTGATTCTCTTATGAAGCCTCTTTTCAGGTTCTTGTCGATAAATTCTCGCAACTCCTTCATCTCCCTGTCTGACATGGCGTACAGCTTACCCACTGGCAGCTGAGCCCCCGGAAGCAAGTTGATCTGGCAGTCAAAGGGCCTATGGGGTGGCAGTCTATCTGCCTCTTTCTCGCTGAAGACCTCCCGCAGATCTGCGTATTGTGGCGGCACCTCCCCTTTCCGCTCCACCGCCATCCCAGCCACCCTGGCCACGGTCATTCTTGGGGCTTCCCCTAGACAGTGTTCCAGGCAGTAAGCTGACCCAAAGGTGACTGTCCTCTGATGCCACGCCACCACTGGATCATGTTGTGCTAGCCAGCTCATCCCTAATATTATTGGGGTCCTGCTAGCGAGGCGACGTGAAAGGCGATGGTCTCCGAGTGCCTGGACACCCTCATTCTCATTGGCGGGGTCTGGTGTGTCACTTCCCCTCCTAGAAGCTCCCTGCCATCAATGGTGGTCACTTGCAAGGGAAAATCCAAAGGCAGTAAGTGGAGCTGGTGCTCTAATGCAAAGTCCTTGCTGAAGAAATTACATGAGCTGCCTGAATCCAGCATGCCTTTCACCTTGACTGGGTGCCCGTTCGGGAGTTCTAGCACCACTTCGATGGCTATTGCCGCCTTGGGGGTCTGGTTGGGGCACTTTTACTGGTGGCTGGCTTGGCTGTTGTGCCCCTTGATTGGCAGCCAAGCGTTCCCGTTTCCCTGTTCCTGTTCCTTTACCACCTCCTCCTCACCCCCTGCGGTTCCCACCATTCCTTGCCAAGCCTTTCTTTGAGGGCAGGCTCTGGCAAAATGGCCTGGCCGCTGGCAAAGGTAACACTTCTTGGAGGTTTTCCAATCCTTTCCCTCCTTCTTGCGCCCTTCGCTGGTGCTTGAAACTTCCCGCGCGCGCCCCATCTATTTCCATTGGCTCTGCTGGCGGGGAGGGCTGCCTTGGTATTTCAGGAATGCGGTAGTCATGGCAACGTTGCTCTCTCCCTCCCGCCTCTCCTGGGCCCGCGCTTCCTGGCGCACGCCAATCGCAAGCACAGCCTTGGTCAGCTGATCCATCCCCTGTGGGCGGGGTGCGCGGGAAAGTTCATCCTTAACCGTTGGGGACAACCCCTCCTCGAATAACATCTGTATGGGTTCGGAGCCCAGTTCCCACCCGAGGCGGTGAACTATCATGGCAAAGCGCGACCAGTAGTCCCTAACTGACTGGCTCCCCTGTTTACAGTTCATCAATTCCCGCTTTGTCACACTTGTTTGAACATCAGTGGAAAACATCGCGTCCATCGCTTGGAAGAATTTCCTCAGGTCCTGCATGGCGGAATTCTGCGTCGCCATGAGGGGTCTGACCCATTCCCTGGCCCCGTCCTGCAGGTGACCCACAACATATGCCACCTGCGCCGCGTCGTCTTCAAAATCGTTATGCTGCAATTCCAATGCGTACTCTATTTCCGTTCGAAACGCACTGTATTCTTGCGGCTTTCCCCCAAACTTATGCACCAGTCCCGGTACCTTCCTTGCTATGGGGGTGGGTCTGACCTGTGCATCTTGAGACCGCCTTTCGTCCAGCCGTGCCGTCAGAATGGCCACATGCTGCTCCAAATCTCGGTTCCTCTCCTCCAGCGTTTGCCCTCCAGCTGCTCCCCCCCTGGGTGCCTGCTTCTCCGGGCTTGCTCATGATGCTGCCTGCCTGCTGCTGCGCACGAGCAACTTTTCAGGGACTGACGGATTGCTGTAATGAGTATGAGTTACTCGTGCGTAAACTGGTGCCTCTCTAGGCTAATTTGCCTTGTTAAACCTTTCTGACTGCACAGCCCTTTCTCATCATGACTGTCTCAGTCACTAGCAGAATCCGTCAGTGGGCGTTTCTTGAATCTCTTCCAACATAAGAGTTGTTTGACACCCAATCTCCTCCGCCTCTCACTGCGCGGGAGCCTTCTGCGCAGGGTGGGCGTGGGTAGCGGGGGACCTGTCCCCTCCTCACTGAGTTCCAGTGAAGAGTCCGTGAGCCCTCTCTCCGATTTCCCCATCTGCTCACTTTTGTTCCTGGTGCTGCGCTTAAATGCTTCCCCCTCCACTGAGTTGCCTCTCCCCCTGCTGCTGGGTCCTTCTCCAGCATCATCCAGGAGCCTCCCCTTCGCCTCCCGCTCTGATGTCAGTTCCCTGACAGATATATATGCACCGTATTTTTCCATGTATAAGACTAGTTTTCCCCCCTAAAAAATAATGTAAAAAATTAGGGGGAGTCTTATATACGGAAAAATATGGTATGTTGTCACGATATGGAATGTTGTAAATAAATAGATGCAAATAGGTGAAAATATATTTTTAATTGGATGAGGCTGAGTAAAAGGATTAAGAATGTTTATCAAAGTACTGGTGTCATGAGAAAGATGAACAGGTATATTCTTGACTTGGAAGAGTAACAGAACATGGCAGAACAAGGGCAATTGACCACACCCTTGGACCGGACTGAGAATTACATTTTGCTAACCAGAAGGAAAAAATAGGATTAAAAACACTTAGCAGGGCATTGGATCTGGTCGAGCAGTTTTTATCTGATTTTTAGCTTATCGTTGATTTTAATTATTTTTTGGATATTTTATATGGCTATTTTAAAACTTTTTTTTTCACTG